GCCGTCGAGCTCGAGACCAAACTGCGCGGCAGCAGGCCGCCCCCAGAGGAGCAGCCAGGGCGCCGCGGGCGCCGCTCACAGGGAACAGCTCCCGCGTCACGGGCATGACTGAATCGCTTGCCCGCCCTGGCCGCCCCCAGGCCGGAAGTGTAGCCGCCCTTGCAATCGGCCTTCCCCCCCGGCGGCCGCGCCCTGCAACCGCTTGAGCTCGGCCCCCTGCTGCTGCGCCTTCTACTGCAACTCAGCCTTCCTGGAGGCTTCAGCGCCTCCTCCACCGCCGCCGCCGACTCCGCCACCGCGTGCGATGGGCCCTCTCCTTACGCGCCTTCCTCTTCCCTGTGGGGATGGCGGCATGGCGATGGAGCTCTGAGTTGATGTGTTCCTGCAGCACGGGGGGGGCCATCAGCGAGCCCCTGGCTTCCCCCGTGCCCAGGTGAAGACATTGATCGTCGAATAGCTCATCCTTCGAACGACCCAGCACTCGATCAGGATGGCGCCCTTCCGCCACCTGAGCGCGGAGGACAAGCAGCTCGTAGGCCGCGTGCTCGGAGATGTTCGCCCGGCCGAATGCGATGTCCATCTCGAACATCCTCATCGCCAGATCGTGGCCCTGCGCGCCCTCGCCCCAAGGTTCCAAAACTGCTTCATGCACCCCTTGGTGCGGCGCGCACGAGAATGTTGATCTTGCTGCGACAAGAAGTCCACGCGCCGCCTCACCGGCTCACGCCATTTGAGAAAGGAAGATGCCGAACCTGCTGAGAGCTGAGCACGAGTGGCAATAATCTGGCGTCGAGCTCGAAGTCGGGGCAGGGCGCTGAAGGACACGCCGCGACCGCGATGATCAGAGACCCACCACGTCTGGCCATGACGAAATCGCCCATCCGCACGAACGAGGTCACCTTGACCACGCTCCGCTTCCGCTCGTCGGTTCTGCCGTCTGTCGAGGCCCAGCCGCGCCACTCCAAAGGGCGTGGACCTGACAGCTCGTCAGAGCCAGTCTCGAAGTCACTCTCTGGAGCTGCTGTCCCAACCGTGGGGGCGACCGGCTGCTTGCCATGCATTCGTCACCCCTTGTCGGCCGACGCTGGCGGGCTGACCGATCCAGGAGGAGACTGCGCGAACTCCAGGGCCTCCATCACCTCGAGCGGCGTTGGGTCCCAGTCGTCGCCGTATGCCACGCTCCGAGCTGATCATCTCATCCCCTGGTTGCCACCCGCGATCATGTGGCCCTCGTTGTCGAAAGCCACGATCCCGGCCAACGAGCTTGGCCCGACCCCGAGGACGTGGGGGCATATGTCCAAGTCGGGGCTCAAGGCGTGCCAGATCACTCCCGCTACCTTCTAAACTGCTGTCGCGATGACGTCGCCCTCGGCCTTCGCGACGTCGGCTCCGCGCGGGGCGATCAGGACCCGGCCCCCCCGCGATCCCATCGAGTGCCACTGCGCGGCTTCGCGGCGCCCAGCTCCGAGCGTAAACGCGGCGGCAGAGAGTCAGCGAGCAGCCGATCAGCAGCCCGAGGCAGAGAAATTAAGATCAAGGGCAGCCAGAGGGTAATATGAAACCTGGCTCTGGAAGAAGCAATGGCGGGCGACCTCGACCACCGGCCCGAATGCGCCCAGGCCCGAGAGAAGGCTGGGGGTGGAAGAGACAGCCTGCAGCGCGCAGGTCTCTGGCGGCGGCCGCCCCTGAAGCTTGAGCAGAGGCGGCGGCAGCGGCGTCGCGTCGGCCAGGACCTGCGGGGCACGAGCAAACACGTTTAGAAAGCAAGGGCAGGAGGAGGAGGAGGAGGACCGAGCGACCCAAGAGCGGTTCCCACCGTGCCTGAAGGGCGCCTGGGTGGCGCGAGGGGCCCCGCCGCTCAGCGGGCCGTTGGCCTCGAGGCCGAAGCGGCTGGAATCCTCGAGGTGGCCGCCCTCGGCGGGCAGCGCCGCGAACTCGTCGACGCCGCGCTGCGAACCACCTTCGAACGCGGGCGCGGCGCAGTCGGCGCCGCGATCGAGCATGCCTTGGCACTCGTAGAGGCGGCGCGCCTCGTTGTTGGGGGCCCGGCCAGGGCCTGAGCTCCAGGTCCCCCCCAGCGCCTTCTGGAGCGCGTTCTGTTGAAGCGCGCCGCGCTGCTGTGCGTTGGAAGGCCCAGCGCCGCGATCGCCGCGCGTTCCACGACCCGGCGCCGTCGACAAAGTCGGGCCAGCACCGCGTCCCGCCGCGCAGAGGGCCGGACATGTAGTCGCGGTAGCCATCGTCAGAGCAGCCGACAAAGCCAGACTGTAAGACGCACGCGTCGAATGAGGCGACGGCGCCGCCGTAGACGCGGCGCCTGCGCGTGCTCGTGGTCAGATCCTCAGCAAGGGTAATGAATGAAGAACAACGTCGGCGCAGCTGTAAGAGGTCAACGCGTCGACGTAACGGCGCGCCAGGCACTGCCCGGCCAGGGGGCAGCTGATGGGCGCCAACGCGTAGACGAACATGTTCAGCAACGCGGATACCGCAGCCCCCATCATAATCGCCGCCCTTAGCGCGCGGGTCCAGGACAGCGGCGTCGCCAAATTGGTCAGCCCCTTGGTTCTCCCTCCGCCGAGAGTGGCTGTGGCAACGGCGATAGTTCGCATCGGCCTGGCGTCGGAAGATGAGCGGCACTTCTTGCGCCAGGCCAATGTCAACACCAGTGCTGACCCTCGGGATAACATCAGCCTTCTCCACCCATGGGCCCCGGGCTTCGCGAGCACCGAGCCGCTGCCCGGAATCGCCCCGGTCCCCAGCGCGGTCCTGATCCACTGCTAGGTCTCAGAATTCAGCCAGTTGGCCGCGCGCGTCGCGCGCATGACGTCGTTGGCCCGCATCGGCAGCAGCGTGGCTTTCTGGCAGTCTCTGCACCGGGCCAGCAGCAGCATCCATGCAATCCATCGCAGCACCAACAGAAGACTGGGTAGCACAATCAGCGCCGAGAGGTTGGGAAGGCCGTGGGGCCTCGGGCGGGGCGTCGGGAAGGGCGTCGAGTGGGGCGTCGGGCGAGGCGTCGGGCGGGGCGTCGAGAGAGTCGTCGCGGGGCGAAGACGCAACGTCAAGGGTTGGGACAAGTCGCGGGGCGTCGGGCGGGGCATCGGGCTGGGCGTCGCGAGGGGCGTCGCGGCCCCGACCACCAGCGCGACCCCGACGGCGGTCTTCAGCGCGCCCGTTGCCGAGCAAACCGAATCCAGGATCAGCTTGAATATCATCAGCGCGTGGACCCCTTCCCAACCTCAGGTGCTACGTCGCGCGCAGGTCCCAGATGCAGGCGGCAAGTGGACCGAAAAAGAGTGCCAGCCACCAGGGTAGAACGACGGGCCGGCATGGGGCGTCCTGGAGCACTCGCTCAGCAGGATCAGAGGTGCTGACAGGGGGATCGCGCATCATAATCTCTACTGCCAGGAGCAATGTTCGCACATTGCCGTCGCTCTCAGCGTCGCCCCGACCCCCAGCGCGGCCCAGATCCCACGCAGAACCCCGAAGACCAGCACGGTTCCGCTCACCATCGCGGCTTCGAACTCCAGCGCGGCCACGAGCACAGGAGCCACCGCTAACTGCGCGAGCCAGAGAACTGTCGCCCACCTCGCCCTCCACCAAGACATCGAGATGGTCGAGGCCGTGGTCGCCCTCTGGGTCGGCCTCCTGCGTCAGATCGAAGATTTCGGGGGCCGTAATACCGGCGGCCCTCGCGTGCCACGACGAAGAAGCCAGTGGGGTCGCCGTCGCAAAGTGCAGGAAAAGAGCCGCCAGCCTCGCGCGCCCCTCGCGCGCGGCCGCCTCCGAGACGCCCCGGAGATGCGAGCGGTTGCAGTAAGTGTCCAGCGGGCACTTGGGGAAGCGACGGTGCGTTTTGACAATGGATGTTCTCGGGCCCACGTCGAGCACCTGCCGGCAGCAAAAGTTCAGGACTTCCGTCGGGGTCGTTCGGCATTGCGGCCAGCGCCAAGCTGAGAAGCACCAGGGGCAAAACGTTCAGAGTCTCGTTGAAAGGCGGGCCAGGGCCAGGGGGCCACCCAGGGCGCGATGCAGTGGTCCAGAGCATCCCACGTTTCGGACTTCGCACTAAGGAGTCCCAGGGCAACTTCCAGTCGGCTGAGCTGGCCCTCCAGGTTGTCGAACTGGTCGCCCGCCGCCCGGGTGTCCTCGCCAAGCGGGGTCGCGGGGGTCGCCTCCTCTCCAAGCCCCCTACGCGCGGGGCGGAAAAGACGCAGCCCTAACTCTTCGCCGGCTGCATCGTCGCAACCTTCATCATTCGCCGACAGGCGCCCGTCGCGGTCTTCTCGGCGCCGACGCGGCAGCTTCACGAGTGGCAGCGCAGGGCGCATCTTTGCCTCCCGCGGGTCGCTCTGGCACCCGACAGGTGGAGCTGCGCGAGACGACGGCGAGCCACGGGTGCGTTTGGCACGGTCAGCACGCGCGCGCTCGCGCATACAACTCCCCAGAGAGTCCGCCACGGCGCAGGGCGCGATAGGAGACCGCTTTGCCAGAAGCCGCCGGACAGGCGCCCGCTCGGAGGCCATCCGCATCCAGGTGTCGAAGAAGAGCCTTGCCACGCGCCATCTTTGCGATGTCGTCGCGGTCGATGGTGTCGACATCCACGAAAGAAAGATTGAGCGCGCTGTGCGATGTGGCGCAGTAGAGGCCCCGCTCGCGGCGGCGGGCTTGGGCGCCAGACAAGGGCGACCCACCGGAGAGAGCAGCCACCCAGGAACGGCAACGCGCTCCCCGACTGCAGTTCCATTTCGAAGGTGAAGGCAGGCGAAGAACAACGCTGAGATCAGCAGCGTCGAAGCGGCGCCATGCCGAGCTTTCCCGCGCAGAGGCGGGTGACCGAGCACATGAAGGGGCCCGCCCCCGCGGCGGCGCGGCGCGGCCCTGGAGCTCTCGGGCCAGAATGGCGACGGACGGAAGAGGGGGGGAGGAGGAGGAGGAGGAGGAGGAGGAGGAGGAGAAGGAGGAGGAGAAGGAGGACGAGGAGGAGCAAACGAAACCTGGCGGGAAGGTTCGCCAGCTCACGTCCAGCTCGGCCGCGCGGCGCCCGAGCGACTCAAGGCGCGCGGGGCGGAGCAGCAGCCGTCCTAATACTTGCTGTCCTCGGCTTCGCCGGTCACAAAGAGCAAGAGGTCCGCCCCGAAGTCCGACTGAACCCCGTTCGGCAGGGAGTATCCGACATCGGAGCAATCAAAACAGATGGCATCGGCGACGAGGTCCTCCAGCGACGCGCAGAAGGACGAGTCCTGGATACCGAATATGTCCATTGCGTCGTCGTGCGGGCGCCTCTTCAGGTCGTTGTGGAGCTCCTGGGCGCTGACCGTCTGCGGATCGATGGAGTTGGGCACGCGTGTGAGCGCATTATCGTCGTGCACAGGCATAGCGAGGACATTGCTCATATGCTTGTGGGAGCTGAAGAAGAAGATGGTGAATGGAGAATCCGAGCTCTGGAAGGGCCCCATGGCATACAACGTTATCCACCACCACCTCCACGATCAGCAGCAGCAGTAAGAAAAGCCTGCCGGTGGGGTGATGGATGAGCTTATCGGAGCTGGCGTCGGGCACGGAGGTCATGTTGGAGTCGTTCTGCTTGTCGCCCGTCGATTGTACGAAGATGTCGCCGTACTCGATGTGATGTGTTCGATTCACCTGGTCCGTGGCCTCGATGCTCTGGGTCTTCAGCGTGTCTAGCTCCAGCTGGTTCGCGAGGCTGTTGAACTGACTCGCGGGCGCGTCCTGCAAATGGTTCGCGAGGCTGTTGGACTGGCTCGCAGACGCGTCGATGGTCTTGGCTATGCACTCCATGTGGGCCACTTGCTGGTCGGCACATTCCTCATGGAGGTCAGCGAGCTCACGTCGAGCTTCATGCGCCCGCTGTTCGCTGGAGGCGAGCGCGGAGTGCACATCCACCAGGGCCGTCTTCGTTGCAGCCATGTCGATTGGCAGCGTGGGTCCAGCAGTAGCGTCAGCAGGAGTGGCGGCGCGCACTATTGCGAGTTTCCCGACCTCGTGCTTCGCGAGGTCGGCCTTCTTGTGGATGATCGTCGCGGAGTTGCGCGCTTCCAGGTCGGCGTTCGGCATCGCGGCGAGCGTCGCCAGCCTCGCCGAATGGTGGCGCGACCCAATGTCGATGTCGTGCTGGGCGTGCACCTCCAAGGACTTGAGAATGACCTTGGCGCCGTCGACAAGCTAGAGCGGCACTGAGATCCAGCGGCGCGTCGGCTCTGGCCGTGGGATCAAATAGCCGCGCTCGATCGCGCGGGTCCGCCGGGCGGCGCGCGCCATGGCGGAATGCGTGTGGGGCATAGATATATTGGGAAAGGGTAGGACGCTACGCGGGGCGGCGCTCGCAGCACATTCACCGAACCACCGGTGGACTTGAGCCAACATGGCAATGGAGGAGGAGGAGGAAGAGGAGGAGGAGGACGAGGAGGAGGAGGAGGAGGAGGAGGAGGAGGAGGGGGAAAGGAGGGGGAGGAGGGCGAAGACTGGAAGACTCTATGCTTACTTTCGCAGTGGAAGGGGAAGTTCACCACACGGCTGGGCATCACAAGAGCAGCCACTAGACTGAGGACCTCGAGACCCTGACGCGCAGCGCCTGGCGCACAGCCAACCTCTGCCGACGGCCCAAAGAGATACCGATCCCTGGGACGGCTCGAGGAGGGGGAGCACAGGATCTGGAGGGCTGTCTTGGATCTGGGAGAGATGCCTGGGATATTCTGGAGCTTGCCCCTGCTCCCCTCCATACCCTTTGCACTCCTCCGCCTCCTGCTCGTCCGCCTCCCTCCTTCGCCCTCCTCCTCATCTTCCACCTCCTCCTCCTGCTCCGACTTCGGACGCTTCTTCCTCATCCTCTTCCTCCTGCTTCTCTTGCTGCCGCTCCTCCTCGACGGCACTCAGGGCACAGAAATAGGAGTCGCACGTCGTCATGCCCCCAGCATGCGGGCATCCCCCAATCCTCGACCTAGATCAGAGGAACGGCCAGAAAACCAGTGCCCCTCATGAACCCACAGTGGTTCCAATTTCAACGCTTTGAGCGGCGCCACGGAGCGGCCACGCAACGGCAGCCGCGGTGGCTCCAAGCCGAGAGAGGAGAGAGGTGGCCAATCCACGCCTCACTCGGTCGTGTGAGCGAGGAAGGGCGGCTGGGAAGCTGGATTAGAAAGAAAAAAAACGCTAGAAACATAAACTGTTGCTCCGCGCGGATTTCTTGGATCCGCGCTGGGGCCCCCCCGCGGCGCCTTTGGCGCCCAGAGAGCCGAGGGGGAACCCTCCGAAAACCTCAGGGGGATGTGCTCAGGGGAAACCCTCCGAAAACCTCGCCATCTCCATTCCACCACCGCCTCATCCTCGCCTCCTGTCCTTCCCCATCCTCCCACCCCAAGGCCCTGCCGTCATCTTTTTAGCAGAAAGTGGACTTGCGGAGGATCCAGCCCCTCCCCTGGGACAGGTTTTCAATCCCGAGTCGTGTCTTGACGGTCCTAGTGCCACGCAAGAGCCTCGAGGAGGCTGAACATTGTTCCACAAACCTCCTGCGCCACGCGAAAGGATCTGGGTACTGGAATCCCAAATCAGCCCCAGGCCCTGTTCTTGGACCCGCTCTCGGAAGAATCTCGAAGAGAATCCGGCCGTGGCGACGAGAAGCCTGCCAGGAGGGCCAGAAAGAGCGAACAAAAGTGCCAAGCTCCTCGAACCTCGATCCTGGAACCCTCCCCCTGGCCTCCTATCCTCCCCCTCCGCCCCGTCTTCCCCATCTCACTCCTCCTCCTCCTCCTCTTCCTCCTACTCCTCCTCCTCCACCATTTACGTTCGGTAGACTTAGGTCGACTGGGATCGTAGTGTCAGGATGGCCAACGAGCGGCAACGTGCAAAGACAAACCGGCGGCTTAGAAGCTGCGGTCAACACATACAACCTACGTGAGCGCAGCTAGAAAATAAGGCAACCAGAAAAGCAAAGGTGAAGAGAACAAATGTCTTTTGCCTCCTCCTCCTCCTCCTACTCCTCCTCCTCTTACTGGTCGGCATCCTCGAGTTTGCTTGGGCAAGCAAACTGCTCGAGTCTCAAGCGGAGTGCCCTCTAGCTGGTCTAGGGCTCCCCATTCCAACTCCACCCAGTGAACAGTCCGAGTTGCTCAATAAGCGTGGGGGAGGGGGGGAGATCGAGGGGGGGGGGTACAATCGGCTTGTCCAGCGCTGGGCGTGGGAAGGTTGGGACCGCGTGAGGGGTGGGTCTGGCACGCGCGCGCTGGGGGGCTGGAGCGGGCCATCGGGCGGAGTGGCATGGGGAGGGTGCTCATGGAATCATATGGAATACACGCATGCCCCTCCTCCTCCTCCTCCTCCTCCTCCTCCTCCTCCTCCCAAGGGAGGGGTCGCGCAAGGGGAAGCAATCTAACCCCAGCCTCATTCTCCCCCCCCCCTCCTCCCCGAGGTTCGGCCTCTTCACAATCAGAACGACACTTTACAACTGGGACGGGGCACCTCATAACCAGCAAGGGATCAACTCATATAACTTCCCTTTGGGAGCGACCGCTTCACAACCAGCAAAACCCTCGTTGCGAACATAACGACCACTATACAACCCAGGCGATGCTCTGTACAACCAAAACGGCAAGTTTACAATCAGGAGCGTCTGAACGCTCTGCAGAGGTTATGATGTGCCTGAACGCCTATGCGCTCTGCAGAGGCTTCTGAGGTTTCTGAGCGCCTGTGCGCTCTTCAGAGGCACCTGGGGTTTCTGAATGATCTGCAGAGGCTCCTGATGCTTCTGATCGCCTGAGCGCTCTTTCCGAAGCTTCTGAGACTTCTGAGCGTTTTGCAGAAGCTTCTAAGCTTGTGAGCGCCTGCTGTGCAGCGGCTTCTAAGCTTGTGAGCGCGTGAGCGCTCTGCAGAGGCTCCTGAAGCTTTTGAGCGCTTCAGCGCTCTGCAGAGGCTTCTAAGCTTGTGAGCGCTCTTCAGAAGCGTCTGAGGCTTCTGAGTGCCGTCCCTCCGCCTCTCCTTCAGAGCAACGAGCGCGATTGGATTCCAAAGGGTTTGTCTGATGCCAATCGGATCACAGTCGGAAATGTACCAATCGGAATCCGAAAGGACTCCTGGCGGATGTGTGCGGAATCCGCTACTTGACAGATTCTGGCTTCAAACGAGGCACGTTACAACTAACACGCTTCAGATAGCGAAGTGTTTCCCTTACTTGGCCCCGCAGGGATGTCAGCCATTTAAATGCGTTTGTACCTAGTGCGCTTGTACTTGCCGGTTTATAGCATGCCGTTCTGGAAACGTCGATGCTGGTTGAAAACTGCCCCATCTCGGTTGTAAAATACAGTTCTGGTTGTAAAATGACCCGCACGCCCCCCGCCACAGATACACAATACGAATCTTACTCTCGTCTCTCCCCTGACTCTGTCAGGAGAGTATCCCGTCCTCGCCGCGTATTGTTTTTTACACACGATGTCATTATTTGGTTTCGCCCATGTGTTTGTTTTTCAACCTGGTCGTTTCTGGTTCTTCCAAAATGGTACTCCCGCTGCAGCGCCGCCCTCATTTCCATGCTTCGGTCATTCAAAATCGTGCTCCCGCTGCAGCGCTGGCCTCGTTCGGGCGCCTCTAGAAGGCACTTGGCATTCGAAAACACCCACATCGGGCAGGCACGGTTGCGGAGGGCATGGAGCCAGCATTCCGAACAGGTCCTGTCCTCTCGTCGACGGACCACTTACCCTCCAAGTCATCCGGTGCCGTGCCACGGCATGCAATGCGATGCTGTGTTGTGCACCGCTGTGCAATACTATGCTTTGCGTTGCTACGAATTGTGATGCAATACTTCACTGCGCAACGCCACGCCATGCTATGACATGCCATGCTCTGCCGTGCTCTTCTACGCCATGCATTTCCATCCATCGCGTACCCTTTTGGGATCCTTGCCCTGCTCGATATCCGATTTTGCGAATGGATCGGAGATCTACGCCATGGTACGGGATGGGAGGGAGGAATAAGACGTCAGATGTGACGCTAGCGCACCCAACTTGCCCCCCCCCTCCCCCTATCCCTCCCCCTCCTCGTCCCCCCTCCTCCTCCTCCTCCTCCTCCTCCTCCTCCTCCTCATCGCCCTCCTCCTCTTTTTGGGGGGCAAAATGGGACCGATACCGCTACTCCCCGGACCTCTCCCGGGGTGCGTTCTGACCAGAGTTAAAAGTGGAACCCAACCGTAACGACGAAGACACTCCTGGACGAGCAGCGGTATCGGAATCTTCTCCTCCATAATCTTCCAACTTTTCCTCCTCCTCCTCCTCCTCCTCCTCCTCCTCCCTCCTCCCTCCTCCCTCCCTCCTCCTCCCTCCTCCCTCCTCGTTCTCCCTCCTTCTCCTACCTCCTCCTCCTGCTCGTCCTCTCCCTCCTCCGCCTCTTCCTCCTCCTCCCTCCTCCTCCTCCTCCTCCTCCTCCTCCTCCTCCTGGTCCTCCTCCTCCATCCTTCTTCCTTATACACAACTCCTCCCTGTCGCACCCCGAGGCCCGTCGAAAGGGCGGGCCGGGCCTTTCGCCTGAGACTTCCTCACTACTTACGATCCTGAAACCTAAGACTTGCATTAATTTCACGAATGGAGGGCGGGTGGTTTTCAAGATGTGACTCTCGCCGCCGCCACTAGTCGTCTCACAAAAATTGAAGGATTTCAGGGGTGGAGGGCGGGCCGTTTTCAAACTGCGGATCTCGCCTTAGCGCCGCGCGCGGCGTTGAAGTTCCAAGACTGGTGTTCCGGCACAGTTCAGGATCTTCAAACGATTGTCCTCCAACGGGGCCCTTCCCTCAATGAACATGAGCACTTGCAGGTGCCTGTAAAGAGCGAACTTGGAGGGGGGCGTTATTACAATATCGTTGATGAGTCGTGTGCTTACACTGGTTTTCCTTACGTTGTCCAGATTCTCAACATCGATGCTCGCAGCGTTCGTGTACCCTGGTGCAAACAACCACTTAGCGCAAAGCTGGACAACTCAAGACGAATTAGGCGGCAGGCCCGTGCGGTAAGGGAGATACAGAAAGTATGGGAACAAAAAGCTGAGTGCCCAGAAGGGCGCAGAGTGACGGTGCCTGCCGCCGATGTGGAAGGAGGAGGGAACCTCTTCTTCCTCCTCCTCCTCCTCCTCCTCCACCTCTTCCACCTCCTCCTCCACCTCCTCCTCCTCCTCCTCCTCCTCCTCGTCCTCCTCCTCCTCGTCCTCCTCCTCCTCCACCTCCTCCTCCTTCTCCCACTCCCTCCCCCCACACCTCCTCCTCCTCCTCCTCCTCCTCCTCCTCCCTCCTCCTCCTCCTCCTCCTCCTCCTCCTCGTCCTCGTCCTCGTCCTCCTCCTCCTCCTGCTCGTCCTCCTCCTCCTCCTCCTCCTCCTCTCCTCCTCCTCCTCCCCCTCCTCCTAGTCCTCCTCCACCCCTCCCCCTCCCGAGGGCGGGCGGCGCGGCGCGCGCGCTTGCGCGCCCTGAGGGCGCCCTGCTGCAGCCGCAGCGCCCGCCGCGTCGCGCCCCAGGCGCCGCCCGCGGCACTCTGCAGGCCGAGCGCCTGGCGCCCGCCCCCCCCAGGCCAGGGCCCCGCGTGAAATGACGCTGGATTCGCGCTCCCAGTGCCAAGATGCATCTTACATTGGGCCCGGCCCCTGATACATTACGCAAGTACGCCAAATGTATGCCGACGGTGATCAGAAAGTACGCCGGACACACTCTTTGAAGGTGCGCCGAGGGTGCGCTGACGGTGCGCGGTTTCTGTACTGGTTTTACAAAGAAGCATTATGGAAGGTACGCCGAAGGTCCTTATCCGATGCACGTATAATTTCACGGGCATCGGACAAGGAAAAGCCTCCTCTCGGGTGTTGCTAGGAGCGCCCCTGGCCCAAGGTGCCCCCAGGAATTCCCAGGAGGCCCCCACGGCCTCCAGAGAGCCCCTCGCTAGGCCCAGAGGGCCCCAGGGGCTCTCCAAAATGGAGCGACAAGCTGGGGGCACCTTGGGCCAGGGGCACCTTCAGCAACCCCCGATCCTTGGGATCGCTACCCTGTTTGTTCGAATCGGCACTCGCCCCCCGCGCTTCGTGGGTCGGGTACGATGGGTGCAGACACGTCCAGTCAGGCCTGCCTGGCCTGGCTGGGCGAAGACAAGAAGATACCTGCAGCATGCGTCCCTGCATCATCTCCAACTCTCCCAGACACCCCAGAGGATTTATTAACCGAGCATGGCTGCGATCCAGACCCAGCTGTCAAACAGTTTTGTCTAACAGACCTGGCGTTCCATGTGGCAAACAAAAAAAAAGCCTCACCTTTTCCCTGCGTTGCAACCCGTTGAAAGCTCAGGATACAGCGGGCAGGGACAACACCGGTTCCAGAGCGCCATGGAACGCTTCGAAGGCGTTATGGGACGCTCTGGGACGGTCTGTCTTTGTCCTAGGTCCCCGCCGTAGGACACCGCGCCGCCCCGAAGGCCGACAACTGCCAGCAGGCGGGAGCCGTCGGGGTCGGCGTGGTGCACTACGAAGCGCCGACGGATCTGCATTCCCTGGGGAACTTTGGTGGACGACGCGTGGGCGTGGGATGTCCCGTCCCCACACCCTGCGCGAGCGGGGAGCGCCCCCTGCGGAAGCAAAATCAGTGGGCGTCGAATCGGGAACTCGAGATGAATTGGAATGTGCGTCGGATCGGGCAGCACCGACACGGGGTCGGACTCGGATCGGATCGGCCGCACCAGGATGCACGGCAACGCCATGCAAACATTCGCCAGAACATCAGAATCGAATCGGATCGGGCCAGCCGGAATCGACATCGAGCCGGATTGATCGGATCGAAATCTAGAGGCCTCCCAGATGGGGTCGGAGTAGATGGGGTCGGAGGATCGCGCCGCATCGCCGATACATCGGCGATGCATTGGCGACGCGAGCGTGGAGAATGTCGGGCTCCGCATCGAGCCGCATCGCCGATGCATCGTCGACGCGGCGCGATCCTCCGACCCCATCTACTCCAACCCCATCTACAGTCGGCAGTCGGCCCGTATCATAAAGATGCGCGATGAGAATGCCAGGGCCTTGGACGCCCATTTCGAAGCTTTCGAGCGGGGCGCGGCGAACGAAAGTGGCCAAGGATGGACCGAGGAGGCAGGGATGCAAGGCTACCCTTGGGAATGCTGCCCATCCTTGCTATGCGGGTCGACTCTAGGAGGCCCAAGGCTGATCGGATCATCGAGATCGACCCTGGGAGAACGGCGGTGGGCCCACGTACCTCTCGGCCCACGGCCCGCTCCCCCGGGCAGCCGCCCTCGACGGTGCTCGAGGCGGTGTTGGCGGGATGTTTTTTTGTTGTTGCTGTTTTTCCCCAACCCTCCTGTGTTGGGCACTCGTTTTGAATAGAACGCTGTCTGACCCACCTCCTCCTTCTCCTCCTCCCCATTCCGCCCCCTCCTCCTCCTCCTCCTCCTCCTCCTCCTCCTCCTTCTCCTCCTCCTCCTAGTGTTATTCCTCCTCCTCCTCCTGGCCTCGTGACCTCGCCATCCTGCGATGTGCGAAACTGTCGCCACTTTCGTGGGCTCCTGGGAAGCCGTCCCACGCAGATCACCACGAGACCGCGTTTCCCGTGGGGGGCTTCGGTCTGCGAAAGTGACGCCACTTCCGAGGGCTTCAGGAGGGCCAGCGGAAGTACGTCCCACGCAGATCACCACGAGACCTCGCCGTCCCCTGGGGGGCTTCGATCTGCGAAACCGTGGCCACTTTCGTTGGCTTCAGGGAGGGCCAGCAGAGGTGCGTCCCACGCAGATCACCACGAGACCTCGCCGTCTCCTGGGGTGCTGCGATCTGCGAAACCGTGGCCACTTTCGTGGGCTCCTGCGAGTCCCAGCGGAGGTACGTCCCACACAAATCACCACGAGACCTCGCCGTCCCTGGGGTGCTGCGATCTGCGGAACCGTGGCCACTTTCGTTGGCTCCTGGGAGGGCCAGCGGAGGTGCGTCCCACGCAGATCACCACGAGACCTCGCCGTCCCTTGGAGGGCTGTGATCTACGTGCGAAGCCGTCGCCACTTTCGAAGGCTTCTGGGAGGGCCAGCGGAGATACGTCCCGCGCAAATCACCACGAGACCTCGCCGTCCCCTGTGGGGCTGCGATCTGCGAAACTGTCGCCAGTGTTCTGGGCCTCTGGGAGGGCCAACTGAGGCACGTCCCACGCAGATCACCACGAGACCTCGCCATCTCCTGGGGGGCTGCGATCTGCGAAACTGTCGCCACTTCCGTGGGCTCCTCTGAGGCCCAGCGGAGTTCCGTCCCACGCAGATCACCACGAGACCTCGTCGCCCACATGGGGGCTGCCATGTGCGAAACTGTCGCCACTTTCGTGGGCTCCTGGGAAGCCCAGCGGGGGTACGTCCCACGCAGATCACCACGAGACCTCGTCGCCCCCTGGGGTCTTCGGTCAGCGAAACTGTCGCCACTTCCGAAGGCTTCAGGGAGGGCCAGCGGAGGTACGTCCCACGCAGATCACCACGAGACCGCGTTTCCCGTGGGGGGCTTCGGTCTGCGAAAATGTCGCCACTTTCGTGGGCTCCTGGGGGGCCCAGCGGAGGTACGTCCTACGCAGATCACCACGAAACCTCGTCGCCCCCTGGGGTCTCCGGTCAGCGAAACTGTCGCCACTTCCGAAGGCTTCAGGGAGGCCCAGCGGAGTTCCGTCCCACGCAGATCACCACGAGACCTCGTCGCCCACATGGGGGCTACGATCTGCGAAACTGTCGCCACTTTCGTGGGCTCCCCTGAGGCCCAGCGGAGGTACGTCCCACGCAGATCACCACGAGACCTCGTCGCCCCCTGGGGTCTTCGGTCAGCGAAACTGTCGCCACTTCCGAAGGCTTCAGGGAGGGCCAGCGGAGGTACGTCCTACGCAGATCACCACGAGACCTCGCCGTCCCCTGGGGTGCTGCGATCTGCGAAACCGTGACCCCTTTCGTGGGCTCCTGCGAGTCCCAGCGGAGGTACGTCCCACGCAATCACCACGAGACCTCGCCGCCCCCTGGGGGGCTGCGATCTGCGAACACGGTTGCCACTTACGTTGGCTCCTGGGAGGCCCAGCGGAGGTACGTCCCACGCAGATCACCACGAGACCTCGCCGTCCCCTGGGGTGCTGCGATCTGCGAAACCGTGGCCACTTTCGTGGGCTCCTGGGAGGTCCAGCGGAGGTACGTCCCACGGGGACCACCATAAGTCCTCGCTACGTTGTTTGATCGCAGATCGCAACGGGATTGGGCGCCACGGAGCGCATGGCGCTCTCATGGGCCCATGCCGCATCGACTCTTCAGCTGCCTCTTGTTCGTAGTGCACTCGGGCACTTGCAGCGCTTAGCGCAGGGCGCTGTTCTGTCATAGCGCGCATGGCGCCGTTCTGCAATGAGAACCTAGCGCGATGCGCTGTTACTCCCACGAAGCATGTATCCAGTTCCCCCTAATCAATATGTTCCCACGCCCCCTCGTGGTCGCCTTCCTGTCAACGATCTGACTCTTAAGAGTGACGCCGCGAATGTGAAACATTTGGCTCTTGCCCAGGTTCTGTGGCGAAGCGTTCAATAGCACGCCGGATCCTTCAGTGCCTGTCTGTTTATGTATTGAGCGGTCCGGTGTATAGCCGCCTCATGTGTACAAAGGGTTGGGTACGTCCCCGGGTAATTAGTTGTTTGGAGGCTGTCGGGAGGTCTCAGGAGGTTTTCGGGGGCTTTCGGGGCCCAAGATTCGAGGAAGAAGAAACGGCAGAAACATAAACTGTTGGCGCTCCGCGCGGATTTCTTAGATGCACGTTGGGCCCCCCTCCCTGGCGCCAGGGGGTCCCAGGCGCAGATCCATGAAATCCGCACGGACCGTCGAAAGTTTATGTTTATGCCGTTCTTCCTTCTTCGAGCACGGTGCCCGACCGAAGGTTATCTGGAAGCCGTGCCCGCCGCCTTCCGCCGACCTTCCACTGGCGGAGCCGCCGCCGTTTTACTTCTCCCATCCTTCCGCAGGCTTCCGACGGTAGGCGAGACGCGCCGAGGGCTAAGCCCTTTCTGGAACGCGCTGCATGTGTACTTTGTCAGTCCATCGTCGCCGTGGATCGCGAGGGCGTCGCTTTGCAGCTTTCTCGGTGAGTTCCGCTCCCCCGGATGGGGGGGTGTCCCGCCAAGGAACCTGCCAGGGGGACCCACGGGGGACCTGCGTGGGGAGGGGGTGGAGCTGAGACTGGGGCGGGGAGCCGCCAGTGGTAATGGTCATGTCTGCGCTTCACGCTGCCGACAAGATGTGGTGTATACGCCTCATTCGCTCGCATCACTGCGAAGCGACCACAACGGGCGGCAGAACCGTGCTGCAGCGAGGGCGGGCACAAGAGGGTGCTGCTGCGTGTGGCGCTGCTGCTCCATCCTTCTCACCCTCTTCGTCTGCTTCTCCGCGCTTCTCAGCATGTCTGCAACTTGACACTGCGCCAGCGCTTCCCGCCCATCCCCAGGGCCACAGGTCGGCTGCTGAAGCAGGCGAACCCGACTGGCACCGGGACGGTCTTGAGAGCGGCATTTCTTTGTCTGGACGGCGCGGAAGTCTTCGGGGGAGCGGTCGGAGGCTAAACTTGCTGCGGGCCAAGGGCGGTAGCATCAAGGCCTGCCGTGGGAGCACCCTGTGATATGAGATGCTGCCAGTTGCCAGCGCAGGAATTGTCAGATACTGGCGCGATAATCTAAGTGACTGCGCAGAGTGCGCGGGAAAAGGGATGATGGGATAATTATTTTGAAGAATTATCGAGTCCGATTGTCCAGCAGGGACATAATTGACCATCGAGACCATGCAATGTCAGTCCTCATTGCGTATCGTTGTGCATTCCCCTGGAAAGCCACAAAACGTATCTGCCATACTCTGTTGCACTTCTCCTCGTACTGGGAGCCGGCGGTAAACCGTCAACCTTGGTTACCGCCGGGAACTCGTAGAGCTTCCTCGTGCAACGCGGGCGCGGCAATCTCGCATTGCGCGCGCGAGGGCGCGATCTCATGGAAGAGGACGCGAAGGAGAAGAAGCAGTGAGAAAGACGCATCTCTGGAAAAAATAATAAACATACCAAGACCAGTTGAGGCGTCTGGACACTTTGAACTAGCGCGTCTGTTGATGTCCTTCCGATTGCTGCGCCGAACAGCGTAAAGAAAACCCTCACCATCTCCAAAGGATTAGCAGAGTATGAATACGTTTTCGGCCCCAGCGCTGATAGCAGACCGAGTTCAGGCGACTGAATACTTTAAACTAGCGCGCCTGAGTATTGCTGTGCCGAACAGCTCTGTAGCTCATCCGCTGCTCGATCTAAGAGGAGCAAATCAATACCATCTCTCAAGAATAAGCGGAATACGAATAGGTTTTCGGCTCTAACGCTGATAGCAGACCGGATTCAGACGTCTAGATACGTTAAACTAGCGCGCCTGACGATTTCCTTCTGATTGCTCTGCCTAACAGCTCTGTAGCTCGTCTGCAGCTCGAGTTTAGTCAAGGAAGCCATCGCCATCTCCAAAAAAATGACAGAATACAAATAGTGCTTCGGCCCCAGTTCTGATAGCAGACCGAGGTCAATCATCTAGATACTTTCAGCTAGCGCGCCGATGATTTCCTCCCCATTGCTGTGCCCAACAGCTCTGTAGCTCATTTGCAGCTCGAGTTAAATCAAGGAAACCATCACCAATTCCAAAACATTAGCAAAGTACGAATAGTGTTTCAAGTCCAGCGGTGATAGCGTACCGAATTCAGGCGTCTAGATACTTCAGACTATCGCGCCTGATGATTTCCTTCCGATTGCTGTGCCAAAGAGCTCTGTGGCTCATCTGCAGCTCGAGTTCAGTCAAGAAACGCATGATCATCTCCAAAAAAAATAGTAGAGTGCGAATAGTTTCGCGGACCTAGCTCGAGTAGCATACCGAGTTCAGACGTATAGATACTTCAGTCGAACGCGTCTGACGATTCTAGATCGATTACGTGTGCCTACCAGCTCTGTAGCTGTCTTACAGCTCGAGTTAACTTAAAAAAAAAAACGACAGCACCTGTCAAGATGATCGAAACAGCCGATCCCGCCTGAGTGCTTTTTGGCAGTAGTAGGTACCCGATCGAACTGAGATTAAGACGGCGAGCGGGAATCATATCGAATATGCGGAGAAAGAATACTAGAGCTTTAACGAATGGTTGAATTTCGAGGAATTCAATTTAAACAAATCAAAACTTCCCAAAACTTCCGTCGAGATTTTTTTGGCCAACTAGCCCCCCAGCGCGCCGGAATTACTCTTCTAGCTTCGCCGCTAACGCTCTTCGGGAAGCTCTACGAGTCATTCTCCCAGCCTTTGCTCACCAGGGTTGGTGCCAGCGCACTGGGTGACTACCAGGATTTGGTAATTTGGCTTCGCGTCGGCTAGCCCCTGCTTCGGACCTCCTGGAAGCCCCAGGAGAAATAGGCCGTCCGCCCGCCATGCGCCTGCTCCTCGTCTTCCTTCCGTTGCAAGTCCCAGACGTCCGACGTCGTGGCTTCTTCGCAGCGTGGCCCCACCAAAAGTCTGAACTCCTTCCCGGGGACCGGTTCTTCATCCTGAACCGTTTCTGGCGGTCCCGGGGCCTGGTGAGGGCCCCCAGAGGCCGAAAATGGCACTTAAAACTGGTCGCCGTGTTTTTTCCACGACGCGGCAACGAGAAAGCGAGTTTCCTCGCGGTGCAGTGCCGCGGCCACCAGCAGGTACTTGCCTGGCTGCAGACGGCAGTCTGTGGAGACCAACGGGTCCCCGCGCAGGTGGGACGCCGCCACGGCCTCGACCTCTCCGTCGGGGAGCAGCCTGAGGACGGCAAAGCCTGGGCGGGCCGCCAGGATTCCGAGCCTCGGCCCTCCCCTCCAGACGTGCTCGCGTCGTGAACAGAATCACGACGGAGAGGCTTTTGGGTGTTTTCGGCCTCTGGGGGCCCTCGCTTGGCTCCAGGACCGTGAAAAAACTTGCTCGGGATGAAAAACGGGCCCTGGGGAATTCTGCGATCCGAGGTCACGAGAGACGTTCGACATTGTAAGAAATCACGACCCCCAGACCCCATCCTTCGGATCTATTACTCGAGCCCGATCGATCTGCGAGGGTCCCAGGTGGCGAAAGCGTCCGGCGCGAAACAATTGCGATGCCAAAATCAAGGAAAGGGTCGATCCCTCGGGGTCGGTGCCCGTTGATAGGAGGAGAGGGGAGGAAGAGAGGCGTACCGAATCTCTCTTTTCTACTGCGGTGGTGTTGCCGCTGCAATGGCGCAGCGGTCAGGTTTCTACCCTCCCGCGTGCCACCGCAGCCCGGGCGTGCTCGCCCCCCCTCTCCCCCGCCCGCGCTCGGGCGAGGTGGCCGACGGACCTGTGCTCAGCACCCGGCTATGCCAGGATGCACGCGGCATCTAGGACTTGAGGGTTTAAAAACTATGCGGGACGTGCCATCGCAAGCTCGCGGCAGCTAGGGACCGCAGGTGGCCCGGCCACCGCTCATGATCTGGATGTAGGTGCGCGCGCCCTCCAGGACTGAGCAAGTCCGAGAGGTCGATGTGCACGCGCTGGTCCTTCGGGAAGAAGTGTTGGATCCAGCCGAAATTGCGGCTTAGAGCGTCTGCCCACTTGTTGTCCACGCCTGGGACGTGATCGATTTCAAGCTTAACCCTGGCCCTGGCTATCGAGGACCATCTCGTGGCCAGTTGGACAAAATGCCGCAAAGGATGTGATGCTGTGAATCCCTTCATAATGGCGGCACCGCTGGTGGTATTGTCAGCTCCCTGTCGGAGGAGAATGCGGCCCGCCGCTGGCACGGGGGAGCGCAGCCGGCATACCAGCAGAGCTATCTGCGCCAGGAGCTCGAAGCACGAGATGAGCGGCTGCGCCTTTGGGCCCAACTGCCAATCCTGTGGGAGATCTGAAATGCCCTGAAGAGCGAACCACCAGCAGGAATCGGGGGACGGGTTTGAAGCCTCGGCGGAGCACCAGCCCCCAATGCCCCAGGCAGAGCCGTTGGCGAAAGCGTCCGCCGCCGCGCAGCCCGGGAGAGACAGCGGAGGGCGGAACGATGCCTGTATCGGAATGCCCCGCAGCGTGCGCGCCCAGGCCATCAGGGTACGATCGAAGCCCTCGGGGGCCGCGATGATGCGGCTTCGCGGATTCAGGACTCTGGCCCAAATCCTGCCCCGGACGTTCGGTTGGACCTCCGCGGCCTGCTGCGGCGAACTCACGTCCTTGCCGCCCACCGAGATGACGCGCCAGCCTTGCCTGAGTCCGCTGTGCGCCGCATGCGCCCGCATGACGAAGGCACCATCTGCGAGCTGCATGGCCTCCGCGAGCTGCAGCCGGGACAATGAAATGAGCGATGCGGTTGGGCGGGCCAGGACCCTGTAGAACTCCGAAAGCCATGGCCGGAGCGCTGGCAAGGCCGCCGTGAACCAGAGGAGCAAGCCCACTAGGCCTTCCACCTCTTTGCGGGGGAGACGCGCGCCCATGCCGATGACCTTGGCAATGAGGTCGAGTGTTTTCGCCCGCTTCTCCTCCGGAACTTGGCAGAAGCAGGCGTAGAAATTCACCTCAACGCCAATCCAGCGGACCTGCCTTCCGAATGACACCTTGTGCCAACTTATGGGGCAACCGAGGACGTGTAAGAAACAACATATGCTGACGGCAAGCAGAATCGCCGATTGCTCCTCCAGCCGGAACAAGAAGTCATCCACGTGAAGCCAGCCCCCGTGTTGGACGAAGATGAAATGGTGGCACAGTCGTATCAAGGCTGCCCCCATCCGGCTCCACCAGGCAGCACTGAACTTGCCGCCGAAATGGCACACCACGTAGTGGTACAAGCGCTGTTGGTGCTGAAACATCACTAGACCCCGTTCTTCTTCTCGAATCCTCAGTCGCTTGTGGGCCTTGCTGACATCGACCGTGAACCCCACCCCGGGAGAGGGGTGCTGGACGACCTCTGCGGACGCGATGTCCTCCAGGCACGGGTTGAAGGCCTTCTCGTATAGCTGCACCTTGTCGTTGACGTGCGGAGCTGTGCTGTCCAGGCAGAGGCGGGGGTCACGGTTGTCCGAGCTGGCGATGCCAAGTTTGCCCACGGCGACCCCCGATGGCCACCTGGCACGGGCTTGCTCCAGCGTCCCTTGAAACTCCCGGACGAAGCCTGCGTCGATCTCTTCCTGGATGAGACGTGAGGCCGTCTCTGGGTCTTCCTCGACCGACTTCCAATTCGTGTCAAAAGATTCAAGCTGGAGGTCGTCCGCGTTCTGGTGCTGCCCGTGGCGCCACACGCCCGAGAACTCGATGGGGTAGTTGACGCCTGTGTGGAAACCCGCCGCGGCGATGTCCATGAGCTGGGTATCCGGGTCTCCAATGATGGTGAGTAGATGCCGCATCAAGGCCAAGCGGAAGGGTTGCCCTTCAATGACATGCAAGTCCGGGGTGAGGCTTTGCTCGCGGAGTCGCAAGCTCGACCCCGGCCAGGTAGACGTCACCACGCCTTACGCGAGGCTTACGCGAACCGCCAGCGGGCAGCTTGCCGGACGGCGTAACGCTCCAGACTCGGATCGGCCAGGACGGGCGCAATCAATCATACGGCCACGTCCTGAGGGATATGCCTGAAGTTTTCACCACATGCCTACCCAGAGCCACAACTCAAGCTACGAACTTCTGGGGACCCGTATTTCAAATTCGGCCGCCAGGAATGGCTACCGAAGGAATGGGCACGATGCCTTACAACAAATTGTGTCCAAACCGACGGCGGCCACTGTTGGGCAGGCGACCTGGTGTCTCAAATGGACAACGCCCGCTGCGACCCCGACACCGATGCCTGTTAAAAATGGGCAGGGACTGCGGTCGGCTCGGCATCACCCAAACATACTCATACGATGTGTGCATCTACACCCCAGGGGCGACGCGCGCGCTGATAAAACTTATAGTAGATGCTCGGCGTCGAACGCTTTCTGGCCATACCGCCTGGGTGACGATGACGATATACTGCAATATGTGTGCACTGCGTGTTCGGTTCGGACGTGCGCCTCCACGTGGGGCGCATAGTACTACGGTGAGGGCATTGAAATCACCGCCGACCTTACCAGGTAAGGAATCCTCCAGGCTCTGGAGCCTCCTGGGCACACTCCTTAACCAACGCCCCCACCGCACTGGCAATGCCCGTGGTACATCCTAACATCATTCGAGAACATTACCATTTAAGCCATCTTGGACAGCTTCCTGGAAATCTCTTAAACCAAATCTGGGCCAACTTCGGGTGCTCACGCTGGAGAGGCAAACGTGCTCAAGCTGGGCCAGCTCCCCAACAAATTGGTCAAGAAACGCTGGCCCAACTTCTCGGGAAGAACCTTCTTAATCAAATGCTCGACCGTGCGTCCGTCTGCGTCCCATCGGTCTTTGTCCCGTCCGTCCGTGCCGGGCAAGAACCGGGGCGTCGGACGCTTTCTGGCCGTACCTCCTGGCTGACGATTTGCTACAAAATATCTGCACCCTTCGTTCGGCTCGGACGTGCGAGTCCAAGTGGGGCGCACGGCACCAGTACGTCCGTCTGCGCCCCGTCGGTCTCTGTCCCATTCGCCCGCGCCGAGCAGGAGCCAAGGCGTCGGATGTCTGGGCCGCCGCAGCCCCGAAGCCGCGGCCCCCGGAGCCTTCCGCTCTCCGCGCGCCGACGCGCGGCACCGTGCCACGCCCTGCCCTCTGCGCCCTGGGCTTAGGTTGCTCCCATCGCACTCAAGGGCCACATCCCAGACATGATTTCGAGCACCCTGAAAAGTATCGAAGCAGTGTCGAAGGAGTATCGCCTCCGGGGGCTCGGCACGTGAAAACCCTCCAATGTCGGCACTTTCCTTGTACTTTCCTGGTGATCAAGGCTAGAGTAGGTTGGGGCATTCTAACCCTTGGCCCCCTGCGCTGTGCATCGTTACGTCCCCTGCGCTGTGCATCGTGTCGCGCTGCGGTGTAGCGAAGCGAAGCGAAGGTGCAAGAGTCGGGCACACAGGTGTGCTGGTGCCGTTTTGTGCAGGGCGCATGAGGCCGTAGCCTCACATCGTGTGCGAATACAAGTCGTCGATCAAATACTGCAGGAACCAGTACCAAAAAAGGCAAGAAACAAGACGCGTGTAAATTTTCAGAAACAAAAGGACGTAACAAAAGATATTCATGAGCCTGGTCAAGATCGAATCGGTGCAGTCGGTGTCGTGGCTGCTACTGTTGATGGTCGTCGGTAGTCGTTGCTGTGTGTTGATGCCACTGTTGCGTTGCTGTCGGTGTTGTTGTGTTGGTCTCGGTGCTGGTGGTCAATGGTGTAGTCGGAGCTGTTGTGTGTAGCCGGTCATGCGCATGCGACCCGAATATTACTAAACATCAATGTTTCACATGGTGAATCGTAGTGGATGTCCCGGTTCTGAAAATACAGTAGCTCAGCCTACGTGCGTTCTGCAAAGTGGCCCTCGTCGATGTTGTCACCGTCCTCAAGGCTGGCCACCAGCCGCGGCCAAAGAGAAGAACTCATGCCCTAATCCTGTCCATGCGTACTGCAAAGATGCCACCATAACACACCTGCACCATCGTGGCATTGCCATCGGAAAGTCCATCACGATTCCAAGGACTCATGCCCAAAGCATCCCACCATTCGCTCAAGGGTCTTCGCCCTGTGTCGGCTTGAAAACTGTTCAAACTCCCCCATACTGATCAAGTTTAGACTTGCCCAGCTCAGCAATCAAGTGGAAATCCGTAAATGGCGACTCTACTTTGAGAAAATACGAAAACAACCAAATCCGTGGTGTCGTACGTCGGCTAAGACTGCCGGAAAATCATGCAACATAGTATCACGTTGATGCACGCGCACCTTTTTTGTCAGAATGAAAAAAAGAGCATCATGCGACACAGGCGCCATGAAGTCCCCGTCCATTTGGCTTATGGCACAAACAACATAATGATCATTACGGCCAGCATTCAAGAGATCGATCGCTTGGATATTCTTTGCTGCAACACCGAAACCCGCGGGGAAGTCGCCGACACTTTCTCCACACTTCTGTATCATACCCACCAAGGTGCTATCCACGTCCAAATACTTGACAATTTGAAACAATTCCGGCATCACCCCCCGTTGTAATTTTGCACAATGATATCACAATCAACGCTTGGTAAGGGAGAGGCTGAGGAGGAGGCAAGACAACGCCGGCGAGACGAGTAAGGTCTGGCAAGGTCGGCTGAGGAGCGGCTTGGTAAGGACGACGCAGGCGAGACAAGTAAGCCACAGCGTCTCAGACGAGCCAGGCCGCGACACTGGCAGCGCAAACCACAACCACACAAACGGGCGGAAGCCGACAGCTGCAAGTCGCCATGGATCAGTGTGGGATAAGCGCAGCACTGCTTGATGCAACGTGAACTCGCGCACGTTCCGCTATACGTCGCGCGTTTTTTTTTTTGATTATTTTTCACCCCTGATCCCCAGAGCCACCCCTGAACGTACCTGGTGCAGCATTAGGAGCCACACTCCCTTCGCCGCTGCGCTGTGCAGCGGCACCCAAAAGGGGGCGATGACCGCGAGCATGCCAGCGGCCTCGCGGGCCGCCCTGGTGGCGCACGCCACGGGGCGGCTCCGAGGGCCCCGAAGCAACTGAAACATCATGCACAGCCAGAGAGGAGGAGGAGGGGGAGGAGGAAGAGAAAAATACAATCGCCTGGCTCCTCCAGGCATTGGCCACAATACGGTGCCTCCGAGCAGTGACCCTCAGACGAGCCTCAAAATGCTGCTCAACCGAGCCAGGGACGCCGAGACGACGGTTATTGTGGGACGCAACAAAAGCATCTATACAAACGGCAAACAGAACATTAGATGACATCGGAGACGGTGACAGCAGAAGGAAGGGGAGGAGCCAGGGAGAACCCTCAGGTAACCAAGACGACGAAATAAATAAGTGACCAAGCCAACGACGGAAGAGAGCAGCAAGACGAGGGCAACGACTGTAATGCTCGACAGAATCAAGATCCTGAGAACCATCATCTCGGCATCCCAACAGGCAACCAGCAGATCTGGCATGAAATCTACGCGAGGAACATAGACCACGGCACAAGAAACGATATATGCCTACCAACAGATATGGTTGGGTACTCTCGACTAGGACGAACGAGTTCAGGAAGAAACGATCCATCATCGGAAGAGTTAGCTGAGGGAACCAGGCCGAAATCCGACGATAGAGAATACTGCGGGCATCTTCACGAGGGCCAAAGTGCTTAAGACAGCGAGCGTATAGTAGAGCTTGGAGCTTGCGACTAGACTCATCAACACGCAACGGGATGCTCGTGTACCATTCATACAGTGTGCGCATATATGAAAGAAAGCTGGATTTCCACCAGCCGGTGCGAACCCGAACCATAATCACGTCATCGTCAAACTCGAGAGAAGATAGACGGGCGAACACTTCTAAAACAGCAGGGCGCCTCAAGATATACCTCAAGCATGTCGCTCGAGCCAGCGACGCCAGCTCAGGAAACTCAACTGGAAGATTAAGCTGGCGAAGCTGTGTACACATCGCATAACTGAATGCATTCCTCGGCCCAGCTGTGAGAAACATGACCGACTCACGATAGGCGTGAAATAGCTGCTTGCTTATGGGGTTGAGCTGGAGAATAAAGCCAAGCACGGAAACACACATGACACGGAAAGCAACAGCAGCACGGGTAAGACCCAAGCCCAGGCGGCGAGAGGTCCCCACACGGAGTCTGAACTTACGAAGAGCCTCCGACCAAACCTCAGAGGATCCCCGAGGACCGATACACATCCCAAGATATTTGACACAGTGAAGCACTTGAAGCCGTTTGATGTCACCCTTCAGAACTTTGACGGAGGACCGAACCCAGGAGATCTCCAGATTCCCAACCAGGAGTAACTGACATTTGTGATAGTTAAGACGAAGCCCCGCAATACGTTCTAGGTCTTCCAACTTGTGAAAGACGGGCCCCAGCGATGTAAATATATCAGGAAGACCGAAGCAGAAATCGTCCGCATATGCCAGCGAGAGCGATATGTGAGACGCAAGCGATGCCTGGACCCATCTGAGCAAAGGGTCAGCCGCCAAGACAAAAAGAAGCATGCTGGATGGGCACCCTTGCTTCACTCCTCTTCCCATGCAAATCCTCCCATGCCTCTTCCCTCCCAGTACAATAGTAGCATACTGAGCTTGATACAGCAACGTGAAGAAACGAATAACAGCGGAACTGATGCCCATGCGGGTAAGCACGCGCAGAAGCCATTGCGTCGCGAGCGAGGGGAACGCAGCACAGAAGTCGGTCATCAAGAGGCCAGCGTTGTCATGACCTCGTGCATATTGTTCTAACCCCCAGGCTTCTGCCTCGACAATGTTGGCTACCATGTCCCTGGCGTGCACGCACTTCTGGGCAGGCGAGATGAGGGAAGAGGAATTGGCAGCAAGCGGGATCGACATAATACCCGCTAGGATTTTAATGTCAGTGTTGCTCATGCTAAGAGGACGGGTATCTTGCGGACGACGGGAGACACGAGGACCATCATCACGATCATCTGAGCCTTTCGGGAGGAACACCATAAGACTGTGACACATATCAGCTGGAAGAGATTCGACGGTGCCGTGAAAGAAACATAAGTAGGCATCGTAAAGGGCACGGCAAGCGGGTTCGGCTCGCCAAGCACGGTAAGGAATGCCATCAGGGCCAGGCATGCTGTGGCATCTGGCGCGAACGTAGTCAACAAAGGTAGGATAAGGAACCAGCCA